GATAGGTTTTTCCATATTATTGAGAAAAATAATTATCAGCTGCTCCAGCTTTGCAAGGTTTCTGGAGTTCACCAGTTCAGAGAGACATTTTTCTTTTTACACATACAGTTTAAGGAAAGACCAGCCCCAGAGGTAGAGTGCTGTGATTGGCCAGGCCATTCCTGGCCAGGTCACATGTCCATCCCTGAGATGAGAGCCCTGTGGGAGCTAGATACTATATAGTATTATTGGTTCCTGTTAAGAAAGATGAGTTCTGCTGACTGAGAAGGGACTCTTGAACATCCTGAGCCTTTATTTCTCTCTAACTGATCTAATTTAATCTTTTGAGCTTCTACCTTGCTGGAGACAAGGAGCAGTGGGGTATGAGGGAGACAAGTTTAAACTTCTGAGAGATATCTTAGTTACTGCCAGTTTAAAAGCTTCTTTTAGATAATTCATATTTCTCAGATAAATACTAAATCTTTTAGATTTCCTTTGCCTTCCTCTGCCTCTCTAAATGTCATTTTTATGGGGATGGGACAAATGTGACTTCATGGTGGAGGAGATGGGGCTTTGGATCCATTTGGATCCATTTGGTGTTCTTTAGATCCTTTCTGCTGTGGAGTGGATGGTTTCATAGTATGGATTGCCCCCCAAATAGCCTTTTGGAGTGTTGTACAGAAATCCATTGCTAGAATCTGAGATTCTAGATATTTACCTTCTGGAGTGAAACACCATACACTTTGTTCTCTTCCCATACTTCTACAAGTAGTCTCTTCAACTAAAGTTTTGTCACTTGAATCATCTGGGGTGATTTTGCTTCCTGCTGGGACTCCGACTGATACAGAGTTGCTGACTGACTTTGAAATAAAGATCACTGAGGTAATTGATTTAATATCTCCAAGCTTTCATTTCAATCACATATGTATATCTCTATTATAGTATTCATAACCATCAATATCTGTCTCCACAGTCAAATGGAGAGGTTTTTGAGAGCAAGGACTTTCTTCATCTTTATGACCCCAGTGTTTAGCATACTGTGTAAGTACTACACAAGTGCCACAAACTTCAGAGAAAGTGCCACAGATTTCAGAGAAAAGGGATATCTATAATATTGGGTTGTTGGAAAAGTCATGATGTATTTTTTGTATGTTTTTCTTTTTTTCCCCCTATGTTTTTCATTGCAAAAGTGCATCATGACTTTTCTGACAACCCAATAGTTGGGCTAGGCTTTCTTGAACTCTGAAGAATGGATAGATCTTGATTGGGTCAAGAAAAAGAAACTTTCTAGTAGAGGGGAATATTGAACACAAAGCCACCAAGGCTAAAATAAACATAGTGTCTTCATGGGTCAATAAGGGAACTTGCCTGTTTAAAATGAGAGATTTTAGTAGGAAATAAAGGTGAGGTCAAATTATAGGCAGTCTTAAAATAGAGCAGAAGTATTCTAATTTGAAGCATAGGAAAATATAATCATTAATTTCTTTTGAATTAGTTGAGCACCATGGTGTAATAGATGTAAGAAAAATTAGTATTCTATAGGATGGAATAGGAAGAATATAAGATAGGTCAAAGGGGAGGGATTGTTCCCAATCTGTTACAGTAATCCAGATGTGAAATGATGTAACCATTTTTTGAGTACTTCTCATTCGTTTATTCATTAACTGAAGCATCTGTTGAATTTCTGTCACGTGTCAGGCGCTGTGCTGGGGATATAATTGTGAACAAAAAGGAACAAAATTAAAGAATTACAGTAAGTCCCTGATTTACGAACGAGTTCCGTTCTGGGAGAACATTTGTAACTCAGATTCATTCGTAAGTCTGACAAAGTGAGTCTTACACACCTTTGACACCAAATATACAATGTAAAGCCAGTGGTTGAACGATCCATGTTATATCAATGAGCGACGTCTACCGTCTTTTCGCCTCAGTCCAATCTCTCAATTATTTTCACTTTTGTTTCCATGGTTATTGCTTTGTGCTTCCTAGCAGTCCGCTCCACATCACCACCGTTTGTATCTGTGAAAGCTCGCAACTCGAATGTTCGTAAGTCGGGGACTTACTGTATGTGGCATAACAGATATAATAATGGGGAATAAATTAAAATTTAAAATCCCACTTAATAGGATTTTAGAAGTAAGTAGATATATTTGAGAGAAGACGGTTTGCACCAAAAAACCGAATCAAATATACATGAACAGTAAAATAATGGATGGGTCAGATTACCTATTAAATGGTATCTGCAAGATCTACAAGAAAAAAAAAAGGCTGGGTATTTTGCATGTGCTAATATGGTTTGCACACACTTAGAAGGAAACTCATTAGCATTAGGATTATTGTCAAGAAAGAATAGCAGAGTTATTAAACAACTACCCATATTTTATGGCCTTGATAATTCAAGGAGATGATGAAGGCATAAACCTAATTTGTCCAGGAAAGTCAGCAGCACTAATCTCAACACAGGGAATCAAATGAGGAAACAAAGAAGGAGTTTTTATTTTAATATTAAATTGTAAATTTAATAATGCATATTTGAAAATCCTGGCACACTTTAAGCCTGTTGTTTTTCCCGTTGACCTGATTGTCATTCATGTAAATAAATTTGTATTAGCAGACTCACATTGCGTTGCTGCCTCTTTTATGACTGTTTTTCATATAAGGACTATTCTTAAAATTAAGTGGCATTTGTTACTTTGGAATTGCTTGTGAATTGAATCGGGATTATAGTCATTATGACAAACCACTGTTATAACCTATTCATTGTGGTTTCCAAGGTGTTTGTGAGTGTTGGGAAGAGGCGGACAGGAGGTTAGGTCTGTTCTCATGGAATATAGTGGATAAGATAGATATTGATATAATAATTATACAATAATGTAGAATTATAACCATGTTAAAGACTATGAAGAAAAAGCACATAAACTTTGAGAGTTTATAATGGTTTATAAAGCTGAGACTGTGATATACTTGAGTTTATATTTAAAGAATGAGTAAGAGGCTATTAAATGAAGAAGGATAAAGCATTAAACCCAGATTGATGGCAAAGCATGTAAATGTAAATATTTGGATAATTTAAAAATAAAACTGGAATTACAAATTTGGGAGTTTTAAGCACAGAATTAAGAACTGAAGCCATTATAGATGAATAATCCAAAGAAGAGTATAAAAAAGGGTATAAAGAAAAAGCTTTGATAAGAGCCTATAGTTGGGTAGCAATGGTGAGAGGGAAAGAAGTAGAAGCCAAAATCAGAGGGGCAGGTAGGAGAGTTGGGAGAACTAGAAGAGAGTAGTGTCTTGGAAGTCAGGGTTCTAGAGAATTTTAATGGGACTAAATATGGAAAAGAGAAAGAAAAAAAAGAAGGGGGAATAAAACTGAGAAAAGACCATTAGAGTTGGAGCAAAAATATTTTTTTTATTATCTGAGAGAGCAGTCAAATGTAATAGGGGTAGCAGTTGAGTTGAAAAAGTCAACGAGGAAAGGAGTGAAAAGGAATTGTAGGTAGGAAATGTGGTTTCTGTTGGGTACATTTAGCAGCAATTGAAAAGGAATACAGTGCAATTAGAATGAGCAGCAGGTTTAAATAATTTCTTCAGATTCTTATTTGCATGTACAGAATAAGAGGGGAAGGTGCTAGTAATAAGTAAGGAGAGATTTTTAGGGGAGTACTTTCCTAGAAAATGATTTGTTAGGATAAATGTTTAACTGAGTCCATGTTCTATAATTTTCAAATGGAACACTATATTTCATTGGGAGGATTTAGAAGGGAGGATAAAATTGTTTAAAACTCTCCAGTACATGGAACATCATCTTTATTGCTTTTCCAGAAGGGATTTTGGAATGGGATAGGTGGTAATGATGTTGGTAGACTTCAGGTATACTTTTGTGAGAGTAATTAGGAAATGCATAGATGTGAATTGAAATGCACATAAATTGATTTTTCAGAACTCAATAAGTTGGTGTTTCCAGGTTTCCACAGATTTTCATAAGAAAATATACTCTTAAATTGAAGCGAATCAACCCTTTTGACCTATTAAATTTTCTTGACAGTCATAGCAATGTAATGCCAGCAAGTCTAAATGATAACTTTAGCCTTCATATTCATTCTCTCATGCCTTCCTTAAAAGGGTTATAAATTATAATCAAGTATAAGAATAAAGCTGCTAAATCTATGTCGTCAAACTTACATTAGCTTTGATGGCTCACTATCATTAATGCTAACTAATGAGCAATATTATATTACATTATAATAAAATTGGTTATGCGTATATGATCTGAGGTACTTAAGCAAGAAAAAAATTCTGAAAGTTTCTTTTTTATTTTAATAACCTGTGAAACAACTTAGGTTGTGGTGAATTGAAGCAATTATTTGGATTATTTAGTGTTAAAAACATTTCACCAGAAATATACCAATAATTAAGGCAATTTGGAGGACTGATTTATTTCTCCACTCTTTATTTCACTTTGGATAATCAAAGTCTAAGACCATAGAATAAAGACAGCATTTTGGACAGAAAATTTTGATGTGCATTTTATTTTAAACAACTGACTCTCGAAATGTTTGTTGAATGAAAATGTATTTGAAATCTTATGACAGCTTTCCATGAAGTTTTGAAAAATGCTGAACGCAAAATTGAATTTTGATGATTGATTCGAGTTGTTTTTTACTGTCATGTTAAAATTAATATCAATTTTATTGCTGTTCCCAAAATTATCTTTTAAACTGTTATGTTACCAGAGGAAAGAGTAGTCTTAAAAAAACCAACACTTGTCTTCAAGAAAGAGCGAGTCCCTGACAGGTTCCCTACTCCTCCTTTTAGGGCTCCTCTCCGACTCCAGCATCCACTGAGGGGGTTTTAAGGTAGTTGTTGGTTCACGCTTGGCCCCGGCAAGGAGGAGGGAGTGCCTCAGTGCTGTTCTCGCGAGGACTTGGATCCCGCTCTTCAGCGGCTCCGCCTTCGGCTTCGCAGACGGGGCGCGGCTGGGCGGGGCTTAGTTCGTTCACGTGGGACTCCGGCTCCTTCGGAGTGGCGAGCTGGCTTCGCGTCCCCGGAGCTCGACCCTGAGGGGCATCTCGGACCCGGGAAAAGGAGGGACTGGACATTCAGGTCCCAGAGTGGCCGTTGAGGTGGGTGGGAAAGGGAGCTGAGTGTGGCGGTTATTCTCTGGGCAGGCGGCTCTGAGGGGCTGGGGGCCTGGCGGGCCCTGTGCCCGGAGTCCGCCCGGACGTCGTGTCCTGGGGGCTTCCGGGCTTGTGGCCTCACCCTCGGCCAGAGTGCCGCGCGAAGCAGCGGGTGCCGCCGCGTGGGTGGAGTGTGGGCGTGGGCGCAGGCTGGGGAAGCGCGTGGGCTGGGCGAGTGTTAGTCCTGCAGCGAACTTCCCGCTTCGAAACGCGCGGGAAGCCTCAGCCCTGGAGGCGGTGGGTAACCAGCGACGCGAAGCTCGCCTTAGGCGCGTTTTGTATAGCGACTCGGCCGCCCTGTGAAAACGTCCACTTTTGGATTCTTGGTGGTCAAGTCATAAGTGTAAAATCGCACTGTCCATTTAGGTTTTACCTTGCTGTTGATGGAAGACTTTCTGTGGGAATCTTGCTATTCGTAGTAGCACACACGCTGAGAAAGGACACATTCAGAGATACTTATTTTTAAAGGGTGTATCTTTTTGAGAACCCTGGGTGTCTGTGGTCTCCAGAATATTCGATGACGTTTTGTAATACCACAGATAAACGTTATGAAGGCGCCCCCAGAAAGTTGTCACGTTCGACAAGTATGTATTAAAGTACCTACTAGGTCAGGGCTGGGTGGTACTGGGCTGAAGGGGTCTCTTCTTTCAAATTAATGTGGGTCTCCGCCCACATTTTCCTGTAATCAATCTATGTTAACAAGGTTGTTAGTGAATATATGCTGTTTTGCATAAGACCTCAGAAAGTTGTTACTTAAAAATGTGTTTTTTCTTTTTTAATGTAGCATCCAAAATGGATGACAGCCTATTTGTCAGTTTGGACAGACTTTTGCTAGAATTTGGTAGGTATAAAAATGAAAATAAAGAAATAGGTAACTACTTATATTATCATTTGGTATTTTAATAATGAAGGGAAGCCACAAAAAATTATTTATTTTAGTTTTCCAGTATGAGCAAGATATACGCACCAAAGAAGATATGATTCAACTAATTAATAGTAAGTAGTTTTGCATGATAAAAACATTTTAGTTTTTAATTTTTTATGGCATATAAGGTAATATGCAGTTGCTTGTTTAGGGTAACTTATAGTTGACATTATAACTTTTGTGCCAGTTTTATTTAGTGACTAATAATGAGCTATTTACCCTAACTACAGTTTTTTTAACAATAAAATTCTGTATTCAGCATTTAATTTGTGTTGAAGAAATTTGCTGTAAGCTGAAATGACAATTAAGTGAAGTTGAAAATATATTTTTCTCAAATAACACAGGTTATTTCAAACATTTGAGTGACTTTATCTTTTTAGAAATCACCAAAAGTCAGGGACCAGGATTGATGGATGCTATATTTTCAGGAATAATAATACTGAAAAATAATGTTATGGCTGAAATGGCAAAGCAGATTGCATAAATGTAGTATTTTAAGATCCTACATTGAGCTCTGAGCAACAGTGGTTTGATTCCCAGCCCGAGCTGAGCAGCCGCTGAGCTGCTAACCGGTGGCAGGATAGCTCAGCTTAAAAAAAAAAAAAAGATCCTACATAAAAGCTATCAAAAGAAAATTGAACCGTTAAATTTCTTAGTAGTTCTTAAAAGGTAAAATTTGGTTATCTTTTCTGCAACAAAAAAGAATAGTGTTAATTTGTTTTAATCTTTTTAAGAGACTATATTTGTATCTTGTATTAGTCACTAGTAACAAAGAATTGAGTTGAAGGTGCATTTAATAATTAATTGACATGGAATTGATGAATAGAAATTTCACATTTGTCAAAAACAAAACTCTTGTTGGTGTCATATATGAGTGAATATTTACATGAACTCATAGCATCATAAGATGCCATTTACCTTAGATATCACTTAATCTAGCCCTCTTACGTTAAAGGGGACATTTATTTCTCTTCAAACCCAAACATAAATCCTTGGCTTCTGGGTCTAGGAGCAAGCCTGGTTCTGGTTCTGTGCTTTTCAGTATAGAGCTCTTTCCATCGCCTCATTTCCTCTCCATTCTCAGACTCTCTTCTTGTAGGTAAGTTGCCATACCTCTTTTTCCTGCTGTATTTGTTTATTTTAATTTATGATTTCAATCTTAAAAAAATATATATTTCCTTTTTCCAGAAAACTTTGAAGATATTAAACAAAACAAAGCAGCTATTAGTAAGATACATGAAGCTATAAATACAACAGATGAGGAAATTGGTCATTACTGTAAACATAGTAAAGAAATCAAAGACAACTGTAGTAAGTGAGTATTTGAAAGAAAAGAACTTTCAGTAATTGTCACTAAATTCTTTTATTCAAGGTTTCTGAGTTTATAGTTGAAGACACTGCTGTATTAAAGTAATATTTTATATTAGCACAATGATGAATTAAATTAAGTCTAAATTGCCTTGTTACATGCCACTATAAAAAAGGGATCACAGGAGATCTAAAAGAAAAATAGAAGTGCTATAAGATCTCTCTAGTTCAGATCCAGTTAGTCTAAATACAGACTTTTGAATAATCTAGGCTCAGTATATAAAATTTCTATTACATAAAAAAATTGAAGTAATTTCCATCTTTGAATTTTCAAGATCTTATTTTTGTCTAGTGGAATCTAGCCTAAAATTAGTAACTTTTCAAAATAAAAGTATTCAATATGTTAAGAATTCTTTCAACATGGCTTCAGGTTGTGGATTCTAGTGGTTAATCCATAATAAAACATAAACATTTTAATATAAAGACTTGTTAGTGGAACTTTATTGTATATTACAAATACTTACAAAAAAAGTGTTAGTTTTCTGTATTTAATTTTATATAGACCATTGTCTTTGTATTAAATACTATACTTTAGACTCATTTGTTTTAAAATACTTTGTTATTCAAAATTTTAACAAACCTTTTTTGTTTCTACCCCATTACATTTTTTATACTAGTTTTAAAATTTTGTAAAAGTAACACATACTTAGTATAAACATTCAAAAACTATACAAATGTATGGAGTAAAAAGTTTTTCCCTGCCTGCATTTCCATCTCTACCCTGTCCTCTTCCTTATAGTGATCACTCCTAAGAGTTATGAGTATCCTTTCAGACTTTTAAAATAAATATTTAACATCATTATTACATATATTTACATATCTATCTATCTATATATGTTTTTACAAAAATGGGATCATACCATACTTATTCTTCAACTTGTTTTTTAATTTAACAATATATAATGTAAATGGTACTATACATGTAATGATTATGTATAGATTTCATTCTTTTTTTAACAGCTCTGTAGTATTTTATAGTATTGATGTATCCTAAGTTATCTAGCTATTCTATTAATAAACATTTAAGCTATTTCCAGTTTTTCCCTATTATAAGCAATATGTACAGGTATCCTTCCACATGTATAGACCTATTGCTATAGAATAAACTTCTAGAAGTCAATTTATTAGATCAAAGAGTATGCACATTTAAACATTTAATAATGCAAAACTGCTTTCCAAAAGGAAATTTACACTCTCACCAACAATGCATGAGGGTTTTTACTTCCTTACACCATTGCCAACATCAAAAGGCCTACAGTGAATCTTTTCATTGAACATGTATTTCTTATGCAATTTTTAAAATAATTAGAACATATGTATGTATGTATGTATGTATGTATAACCTTTGACCTTATGGTTACATTTGTTTGGGAGAATATTTTCTAAGGAAATGATTAGAAATTCAGACAAATATTTAAATACAAGTTCTGTTTACAATAGAGAAACTTCAAGCAAAAATGGCCAACAATATGGGAATGGTTAGATAAATTATGGAATGTGATACATTTATTAAAACTTTTATAATGAATTCCTAGTGACAATGAAAATGTGTGTAATTTAAAAGTAAACAATAAAGGAGGATACACTGTTATATGTGAATATAATCTCAAAGATGTTAAAATATATAAAATCTGGAAACTATTAATAATAGTTATTTTTCAAGGTTGAGAATATGGATGATAGTTATTTTCTTACATATACTTTTCTGTGCATCCATGTATGCTTTTTGAGTCTGAAAAAATAAAAAAGATTAGAAAAAAAGACCTAGAGGAAATATTTGAACATACGTAGAATGGAAGCTGCCATGGTGTATGCTAATTTTAGATATTTCACATTGGTAACATTTTTTGTCATGTAATGAAACAAAAAATGTATAATATGAATATTTGTTTTATTCTTACCATCTGATTTCATAATTCATTTTGTACTAGTTTCTATCCTTATAGTTCAGGAAGGTGTAACAACCTGACTTTTTAAGTTTTAAAGGAGAAAAAAGTCTATCTTTAGCTCTGTCCTAGCTCTTTGCATGCTTACTCCAAAAGACTTTCTCAGCCAAGACCTTAAAATTATGTTGAGAAAGAAAGCCTGATGTTGTATTGTTGCAGAGTATATTCTAGAAATGCTATGGCAATACCACAGCCCAGCCATGTCACATTTTCTTCTTCCTTAGTCATGGTTCCAAAATAGGTGTTATGTAAAAATGAACAGATATTGATATTTGAGCATATGTATGATTGATTGCATGAAGGGTGGTAGTGGTGGTTGGTGATGGGAGATAGGAATACTTTTCTTGAGGTAAGCTTGTTTTCTCCTGGAAGAGAAAGATTTGCTTATCTTTAAATGGTTACATTCACTTTTATTATCTCTCACAATTTGTTTATCATTCTAAGATGCTAATTATAATTTTTTTCCACAGCTGGAAGCCAACATGTGATGTTTTTCATAAACATGAAGACTATATGCAAGAACAATTGGCTATTTATCAAGAGACTATTGAAAAAGACAGGTACAGTATATATATATTCATTTAAGCTTATCAATTCTATAAGTTAGTATTACTAGGATATGCTTTGTAAAAATGTCACTGAATTGTTACAGGCGAACATCTGGGGTAATAGCTGTAGATTTAGCTTATGAAATATTGGGAATACAGGTTTCTCTTACTACCCTAAAGTAGAGCATTCTTATGAAACCTTCGTAAGCTGAAATGGTGTAAAATGAAGAAGCAGTTACCATTAATTTATACAATAGAAACATTTTTTAATGTTTCCAGACTTAAAAAATAACCTATCAAACCAAAGAAATAACACATGAAAACTAAAATAATACTAACATATAGTAAAAAAGAGAATGCACAAAGTAAATTGAGATAAAGCATAGATACTTACAGACAGTTCAGGGTTATAGCGGCTTGATGTTTGATGCTGAGTGTAGTTCAGCTTGGCAGTGCCACTCTTGCTGCTGGGGTGCATGCTGCCTTTACAACGGCTTGCTGTGAAACAAATACTAAACGCTGTTTTTGCTTTTTGCCTTTTTTCGTAAAATTGAAAACTCTCTTCAGATTTCTTTTGGTGAGTGAAAACAGGTACTAATGTAGGCCTTTCGTAAAAGTGAAGTGATGTAATGTGAACTTTCAAAAAGTGGGGGATACCTGTATTGACTTTTGAAGGGTATTTTATATCAAACTTGTTTTTCAGAGTGTTAATTTAGTGGGTTGTTAAATTCTGATGGATAAACACCAATATTTGTGCGGGTTTATTTTATTATGTGTAGAATCACCTGGTCTTGGGCACTAAATGTAATTAGTGAATATAATGAAACAAAGCATTATAAAATTTAAAAAGCATTATAATTTCACTTAATTTAAAAAATTGAAATGGTTTTATTTTTAACATAATTGGACAAGAGCAGTATATTTTTATTTTTTATATTTTTACTAGTTTTTCTTTGGCTTTATTGAGATATGATTGACATGACATTTAAGTTTGAGGTGTGCAACATGATGGTTTGATACATGTATATATTGTGAAATGATTAGCACAGTAAGGTTAGGTAACACATCTGTCACCTCACATAACTACTATTTTTTTTGGTAGTGAAAGCATTGAAAATTTACTCTCTTAGCAACTTTCAAGTATGTAATACAGTATTGTTATATTCACCATGCTGTGTATTAGATCTCCAGAACTTATTCACTTTATAACTGGAAATTTGTATCCTTTGACCAACATCTCCCCATTTCCTTCAACTGCCAGCCCTTTTCAACCACCATTCTACTCTCTGTTTCAATGAGTTCGGTTTCTTTTAGATTTTACATACGAGGTGTGATCAAAAGATACGGTGGATATTTAAATAAAAACATTTTTATTTAAATAAAAAATCCATCCAGTTTCATTCTTTTGCATGTGGATATCCAGTTTTTCTAGCACCATTTATTGAAGAGACATTCTTTCCCTATTGAGTATTCTTGGCTCCTTTTCCAAATATTAGTTGACTATATATGCATAGTTTTATTTCTGGCCTCTTGAGTCTGTTCTATTGGTCTATTTGTTTTCATGCCAATACCACACTGTTTTGATTACTGTATCTTTGCAGCATAGCTTGAAATCAGGAAGTGTGATGCTTCCAGCATCATTTTTCTTTCTTGAGATTGATTGGCTATTTGGGGTCTTTTGTGGTTCCATACAAATTTTAGGATTGTTTTTTCCACTTCTGTGAGAAAAGCCATTGGATTTTGATAGGGATTTCATTGAATCTATAGATTGCTTTGGATAGTATGGACATTTATAAAAATATTAATTCTTCTGATTCATAAGCACAGAATATTTTCCATTTATTTGTGTGTTCTTCAATTTCTTACATCAATGTCTTACAGTTTTTAGTGGCTAGATCTTTAACCTCTGATTAAATTTATTCTTAAATATTTTATTTTTTTTGATGCTATTATAAATGGGATTGTTTTCTTTATTTCTTTTTCATATTGTTTATTGTTAGGGTATAGAAATGCAACTGGGTTTTATGTGTTAATTTTGTATCCTGAAACCTCATGAATTTGTTGATTAGTTCTAACAGTTGTTTTGGTGGAGTCTTAGAGTTTTCTATATATGAGATCATGTCATTTGCAAACAGAGACCATTTTACTTTTTTCCCCCCTATTTGCATTCCTTTTATTTCTTTTTCTTGCCTAATTGCTCTAAGACTTCTAGTACTTTGCTGAATACGAGTGGTGAGAGTTGCGCCTTTGTCTTGTTCCTGATTTTAGAGGAAAAGCTGTTAGCTTTTCACAGTTGAGTATGATGTTAGTTGTGGGTTTGTCATATATGGCTTTTATTATGTTGAGATATGTTCCCTTTATACCCAATCTGTTGAGAGTTTTAATCATGAAAAGTTGTTGAATTTTGCCAAGTGCTTTTTCTGCATCTATTGAGAGGATCATATGATTTTTAAACTTATTTCTGTTAATGTGGTGTATCATTTTTATTGATCTGTGTATGTTGAACCATTTTTGTATCCCAAAGATAAATCCCAGTTAATCATGTTGTATGATCCTTTTATTATAATATGCTGTTGAATTTAGTTTAGTAGTATTTTTTTGAGAATTTTTGTATCTGTAGTCATCAGGGATATTGGCTTGTAATTTTCTTTTCTTGTAGTGTTAACTTATATGGCTTTAGTAACAGGGTAATGATGGCCCTGTAAAATGAGTTCAAGACTGTTCTGTCTTCAGTTTTTTTTGGAACAGTTTGAGAAGTGTTGGTATTAATCCTTTAAATGTTTAATACAACTCATCAGTGAAACCATCTGGTCTTAGGCTTTTCTTCATTGGGAGGATTATGATTACTGCTTCAGTCTCCTTAGAAGTAATTGATCTGTTCAGATTTTCTATTTCTTTGATTCAGTCTTGGTAGATTGTATGTTTCTAGAAATTTATCCATTTCTTCTAGGTTATCTAATTTGTTCTATAATTGTTCATAGTAGCTTGTTATGATCCTTTGTATTTCTGTGGTGTCAGTTGTAATGTCTCCTTTTTTATTTATACTTTTCTTTATTTAAGTCCTCTCTTTTTTTGGTTATTCTAGCTAAAGTTTTGCAAATTTTATCTTTTTTTAAGAAAACTTTTTTTTGGTAATATTTATTTTTTTCTATCATCTTTCTTGTCTCTAGTTCATTAATTTCTGCTCTAATCATTATTATTTCCTTCCTCCTACTAACCTTGGACTTAGA